AGGAGGAGGAGGAGGAGGGGAGGAGGGGAAGGAGGGGGAGGAGGAGGAGGAGGAGGAGGAGGAGGAGGAGGAAGAGGAGGATCTCACCATCCTCCCTTCTCCGGCGTCCTACCTATGGTGGCTGTGGTAGAAATTGGGCCATCATACAATTGAGCAGGCAGAAGCCGCGAGGAAGCGCAGGAATCGCGAGAGGAAGTCTCGAGCGACGGCGCGATGTCCCGTGCAAATAGTGAAAAATCCACTGCGCGAGCGTGATCCCTGAGTGTCGAGGCGCGGTGTCTGAATGAATGAGTTGCGTGGAATTCACACGCGAGAGCGCGATTCTTACATAGATTATGAGAGCGTCCCGCGCGAGAGCGCGATTTCGGAATAGATCGCCAGGAAATATTAAGGGGGAACCGTTGTTGTTGTAACTCGGGGGCATGGGGCCCGATTTGACCCTCAAGACTTCCCCTAATAAAAACCGGGTGCGAGTCCCAGGAAGGGCACTCCCATTGGAAAATAGCATATGCGCTGGAGGGGGCATCATCATCAACAACAACAGCAACAGCCATAGCAACAGCAACAGCGACAACAACAACAACAACAACAACAACAACAACAACAACAACAACAAGAACAGCATCAACAACAACAACAACAAAAACAACAACAAAAACAACAACAAAAACCACAATCATAACAACAACAAACAACAACAACAACCACAACAACAACAACAACAACAACAACAACAACAACAACAACCACAACAAGAGAAACAACAACAACAGCAACAACAACAATATTTAAGATTGCTCACCCTTATCTGCTCGCGTGCAATTCAACACGCATCTCCCAAACCCTCGATACCCATCCTCTTCGTCTTCGATCGTTTCCCCTTGGGAATATATCTTTCTTACCTGCAACGTGTAGTTCGTGCAGCACGTAAGCCAGGGGAAGAGAGGACAGATGGAAGGAAGGGACAAGGAGGAGAGAGGAGGATGGACCACGAGAGAGACTAGCAGGAGTCGGGCTAGGAGCTGAAAACACGTGGCAGAACCAGACGGGCAGATCGGGAGGGTAGACCCTCACAGGCGGGCCCAAGCGGCCAGGTCGAGCAGGCGGGTTGCTAAAGCGTGCCTCCTGCATGAATCGGGAGGAAGCCTTGAGCGACAGTGCGATTCCAAAATAAATCTCGTGGAAATCCCAAGCGACAGCGCGATTCCTGCGTGTCGAAAGCGCGACGCTTGAATCAATTGCAAGGAAATCAGGCAAGCGCCGTGCTTCTACAAATTGCAAGGAACTGCTTATCTCCTGGAGATAATGAACTGGGGTCAATATTCCGACATGAAAAACCTGATGGGGAACCCAAGGTTGGGGGGAAAACAATAATTTGTATCGTTCCGGAATTACGAAACCCAGGCTCACTATTCCCGGAACATTGTAAGATCCAATCAATATTCCCAGAACATTGTGAACCCAGGTCAATATGTTTTCGGGGTCGATATCCCCAGAACATTATAAATCAAGGTTTATAATGGTTTATAATGTTGGGGGGGGCATTATGAACCCCAATCAATATTTCCAGAATGTTGAAATCCAGGTTCATAATGTTCCGGGGGGGCATTATGAACCCGGGCCAATGATCCTGGGACATTATAAACACTGGTGAATATAAATGTGGTATCCATCCTGTATATATATATATATATATATATATATATATATATATATAATATATATATATATATATATATATATATATATATAATAAATATACAAAAAAAAATATTTAAAAAAAAAAAAAAAAAAAAAAAAAAAAAAAAAAAAAAAAAAAAAAAAAAAAAAAAAAAAAAAAAAGGGTGCGAGCCCCAGGACAGGCACGTCATTTAAAAACACACGTTACCAGAGAAGGGATCAGCAATAGCTATTCAGTAATGAGAGTTCAACAACACCAAGAGGAACAACCACAACAGCAGCAGCAGCCACAACAACAACAACAAACAACCACCACAATAAGTGTAAGACTGTTCGCTCTTATCTGCTCGCGTGCCATGCAACACGTATATTGCAAAACCTCGGTGCCCGCCCTCTTCGTCTTCGATCGTCCCCCCTGGGGGTATACATTCCTTACCTGCCGCGTGCAATTAGTGCAGCCCCTGGAACAGGGGAAGAGAGGACGGATGAAAGGGGGAAAGAGAAGGATGGAGCACGGGACTAGAACGTGCAGAAAACGCGTGGCAGAACCAGACGGGCAGATCGGGCGGGTAGACGCTGACGGGCGGGTCGACAAGGCGGGCCCAACAGGACAGATCGAAAAGGCGTGTTGCTGAAGCGTGAGTACCGCACGAATCGCGCGGAGAGCTCGGGCGATAGCGCAATTCCCATGTAAATCGTGAGAAAGGCCAAACCGAAAGCGTCATTCCTGAATGTCGGGTGCACGGCAAGTGAATAAATTGCGTGGATGTTCCACGCGAGAGCGCGATTTCCATATACATTGCGAGGAAGTCCCGCGCGA